ATACATATATATATGATCTTTCGCACACTAGTACATTTATTTCTATATAGAAAGTTCCATAAGTAAAACTTATAAGTATATATTTTATACCATATTGGTTTCCAAAACACGTTGTAACAATTTACAGGGCCCTTGTTGCCTGCTGTATCCTAAGGGCCCAACACAACACCAAGGATTCAAACTTAAAAATATACACATTCACATATGTGTGTGTGGTATACATTGTGTGTGTGGGGGGGCATGTGTGTGGTACTGGTGACTGAACCCAGGGCCTTTGCACTGAGCAATATACATCCTCAGCCCTTTTTTGCGGGGAGGAGACAGGGTCTTGCTATGTAGTTCAGGCTGGCCCTGAAATCACTATGTAGCCCCGGTTGGCCTTGAACTTGCAGTGATCCTCCTGCTTCACCCTCCAGAGGGCTGGGATTATAGGTGGGCGCCACCATGCCCAGTGTAAAATGTATAAATACTTAGGAAGAATGGATAAACTTGTCCTGGAGCTCTCCAGGTGTCCCCCACCAACCCTCCCTCCTGCTTCCTGTCCTCTCTCCTCACTAAGGGACTCCTCCATCTAGGCCCATTAATATGCAAGCGAGTTGGGCAGAAAGAAGAAACAATGATGGTAATAACGGGTAGTGTTTAGACATCACTGGAGCTTTGCACTTGGGTATCTCACTTAAGTGGAGAACAGGTTTCCTCCTCTAGATGAAGGAGGAAGCGTCGAGGCACCAACAGTTTACCCCTAGTTGGGATCGCAGAGTGCCTGAGAAGCTGGGACCTTGGGGAGTTTACACTGGGAGGGCCCTTGGCTGCCCGTTCTCCCAGCACTCGCGGTGAATCCTTGTCCCGTTTCGCCTTTTCAGCTGACCTTTTGCAGGATCTTTTTTGAAGTATCCTCTTCCTCCTTCCCACTACTCCACCCACTCCCTTCCTTCCTTCTTTCCTTCCTTCCTTCCTTCCTTCCTTCCTTCCTTCCTTCCTTCCTTCCTTCGTGTCTTTTCTTCCCTTCCCTTATCCCTCGTTCTTCTCTCTCCATCTCTCTCTCTCCCCTTGCTGTCTCCCGCAGAGCTGAGATGGAAGGCCCACAGAAGCAGGCCTCAGGTCAAGCCCAGCTTGTGCTGTGCTTGCAGGTGGGGGTGAGGGCTGCCCCAGGGAGACCCCGCAACTCCTCCCCCTGCCCAGGCTGGCCCAACTCAGGCCACACCTGCTCCCCCTCTTCCACCTCTCCCCGACCCCCTGCACCTGACAGGCCTAGAGCAAACAGAGCTGTTTGTTCCTCCCTCCCGGGAGTACACAGGGACAGGAGACGCTGCATGTGCCAACACACATTGCACTTCGCAGCTACCTAGCTTTTTCTTATGTATGCTGCTGCTAAGACTCTGAAATCCTATGCTCTTTAATTAGACTGAAGTCAACAAACATATATTTGTTTGAGGTTTTATGAGGGGTACAGAGAACAATGTAGGACATAGTTTCTGCCCAGTGGGAGCTCACACCTGCTTTCCTGGCATCTGCAGAGGAGAATCTTCTCCCAGGAGCTGTTCTGGACCTTCGAAGTTATCACTGGCCTCTCTATCCTTTATCCTCCCATGGAATCGGCCCTTTCCCCGCA